TTCCTCGATATTACTATTTTATTTGCTTCATATCTCTGTTTACTGTCTCCATTTTGCATTTCGTTTTACTTTCTTCTCTTGCTTTGTGTGCTACATGGAGGGAGTGTGGTGACTCGAACTGCTGCACTTCGGTGCAAAGTTCTATGTTGAAACCAGTCAGTCAGTCACTATCAGTTGATGAATACTTTTATTATTCTTAGCTGGACATCTCCACTTCATTTTCTTTTCTACAGTACTATTTTATTTGCTCTCACAACTGCTCATAAGCTTGCATCTCTTCTACACACGATCTCCTCCACATCACCCTGGGATGCCTATCTCATCGTTGCATATTCTGATTCCACTCTGCTGTCTCACGCGTGACTCCACTCAATGCATATCCATTTATTATTATTATTGTTCCCTTGGGTTCCTAGTGGAACATAGGGCTTCGACTACACGTCTCCACTTGCTTCTGTCTTCTGCTGTACTTTTCACTTGCATCCATGTTATTCCATACTGTTTCAACTCCTCTTCACACGATCTCCTCCATGTCACCTTTTGACGTCCCACTCGCCACTTCCCTTTCGGGTTCCACTCGAGCGTTGGCCTGACGCGCGATGTCACCCAGCGGCCTCCTCAGCGAGTGTCCAATCCATCTCCAATTTCTCCTGCATATTTGTTGAGCGATTGGTTCTTGTTTTGTTTGTTCCCATAGTTTTTTGTTAGTTCTTGTTATTTCCGGCCATCTGATCTTGAGTATAGAGCGAAGACAGCTGTTGATAAAGGTCTGCAACAGGCTGTTGGAAATATTCTTTGTGACACACTGGCCAAGTTTCTGATCCGTATAGAAGAAGTGACTGACTTGACGTTTTCATTGAAAATCCGAATTGTGTTGATGCAGGCTGAGTGACGAAGATTTCCAGATTGGTTTCAGGTTGATGAATGTGTTTCTCGCCTTCCCGATTCTCGATTTGACATCCTCATCCGTTCCTCCTGTAGTTGAGACAATGCTCTCCAGATAAGTGAATGAAGTTACCCCTTTCAAATCCCTCCCGTTGATGGTGATTGGCGCTGGATGTTGCTGCTGTTGTTGTTGTATATCGATTTGCTGCTTTATAACTGCTTGACATTAGGCTCTTGGTTAGTTTGTCGCCAGAGTTCCTTATCCTGACTGACTGGCTTCTGTTTTCTGGTCATCTGATACCACAGGACTTAAGTTCGACTCTCGTATTCCTGTCCCCTTTTTTGTGTTTGGCGTAGCATGTATCACCTTTCAGCTATGACAATACTATTTTTTTCAAGAACATATTTAATAATAATAATAATTTTCTTTATTCCAGAAACAGTACTAGTGGTACAGTGTGGAATTTTCAGCACATATCTACAATATTTGCATCTAATTTTATCCAGCGTTTAAAAGGAGTATTTCAAAGAAAGAAATATAAAGGCAACAAAAACAAAAAAACACACACAAAAACAAAAATAATTTTAAAAAATGCGAAAAAAAAAATACCAAGAAGTAGAAATAAAAATAAACAGCATATAATAATATCTCAGTATTGGGTAGCGGAAGCTATGATATGATTATGCATGGTGACGGTAAAGCTGTAGTCATACAAGAAGTTATGAAATGATATTTAAGAATGTTTATCGCCAACATGATCAGTTAATTTGATTGAAACAACACTAAACAATCATAAAATAACATTTCAGGGTTTTTTTATTGACAGCTCTAATGCGGTGTTTGTGGTGGTAGTGTGAGTAATCCTGCATAATACAAAATTTTAAGATGGTGATAATGGCTTTCACAACCAAGATTGTCAGTTAATATTGCCAAACAAAAAAACAACAACAACCACAAAAACCAATAATTACATGATGGTTAATGACAGGACAATTTTGTACTATTCATAGTGTTAATATAGTCGGAACCAGTAGATACACAAAAGAAGGAATACAGTAAAGTACAAAAAAGTAAGCCAATGTTAATAATTTAAGTAGCTAAGTATGTTTAAGAAGGAGTTCACTATAGAATACAAAATAAGAGAGAAATAAAAGAGCCTAAAATTATGTTATTAACAACAAAGCAAGTCATAGGTTTCGCGCTTAACATATATATATATATATATATATATATATATATATATATATAATGCTTCAAATTTTCCTGTTCTTTTTTTCAGGGTTCATCACAACACAAAAGCACTGCCTTCATATTATTTATGATTCCAGCACCTCCAATCTTGCCCACACCCCACACTCAACACCCCCCCCTTCGACTTTCACGATTCTTATCAATTATTATTATCATCATTAGTAATAGTAGGTATTGTAGACGGATATATATATATATATCAAAGAAGCAATTTTCTTCTCAGGAGTGTTTCACCACAGGATCAATCAGTCAGTATGCCACAAACTCATCCAAAAAAAGGAAAACCAGATTAATCATCTAACCCAATAAAAAAAATCACTTTTGAAGACAGATTTTGCATTACACAGAGAACAATTGCATTTCAATAAAAGATTTTGACATTTATATTACTTTAATTCGCACAAGTATATATGAGATACTTTTTTGTATTTCTAAAAGTCATTCCATTCTTATTGTGCTTGTTTCTTCAAAAGAAATATAAAAATATATACAAATATTATAATGATGCATTTATAATTCGGAAACTTTATAGTTTTCTTTTCTGTTACGTCATTACATACAGCGACAAATATCCTGTCGCTAAAGTGCATCGATGGCACAGTGGTTGAATGCTCACCGACCACGCAGGTGGTCCGGGGTTTGAGTCCCGACGGACGCACTCCTTTACTTCCCTCGCTAAGCCAGTAATAAGACTGGTAAAGAGGAGGGAAGGTTGGGCATGTGGGTGGTTAGTGACCCCATCCTGTAAAAAATAAACACCACTGGTACCGAAATTTCAGATGGTTGGAATCAATCAGTAGGAAGCTTTTTACCTAGGTTCTTTGCTTTATGGCACTTATTAGTCAGCAAGGAATATCTGCAGCCTTGGGGGAATTTGTGTCCCTTCTGAGATTCGAACGCGCGTCATCCAGTCCTGCCTGCAGTCAAAGACGTTACTTGTCAGCTATTCGGGCTTGGGATTGACTTCATGTCGGACTGTAATGAACACACTAGGTTGTAACTTATATCGGGCGTCCAATTCTTCGTTTGGTCATTATCTTACAGCAATTCAGAGTGTAAGCCATCTAGCATGGTGACGACACTGTCAACTTGACTGAAAGAATTCAGCCTGTACCAAACTAAGGAATAGATGCCTGATATTAGTTACTTCATAATGTCCAGTCAAAGTGGGTTGAAACACTTGTTCGTCATAAGATCGGTATTATTAACATATAAAAAATTAATAGATAGTACACGTTGACTTCACACAGTTTTCAAAAGTACATCACTTAAAAAGACAAGACAAAAGAAGTTACGAAAACAACTTTAAACAATCTTATTGTATTTATGCGTAATTGAACTTAAACGACAGATCCCAGGGAATAACTAGTAATTTTCACTTCAGGGTGCAGTTTAAAGTAGAGTTGTTTTTTTTTAAATGGTTGTATCTATCTAAATTTCCTTGTAATCACAAAATGTCAAAGGATAAACTAATTGTAGTTAGTCTATTAGTCAGCGTAAATGGGAGAAATTTGAAAGAAGCAACCTCCTTTACCTACCTACCTAACTGGGAAGCCTCGTTTCATATACAGGCGGACGGAACTGATGAGGATATCAAAGCAGTGAGGATTGGGAAGGCCAGTCAAGCTTTTATCATACTGAAGTGTGTGTGTGGAGATCAGCAGCACTATTCAGCATAAAAAATAAGATCCGGGTTTTCAACTTCAGTGGTCAAGTCAGTGCTACTTACTATGAGGATCAGAGACTTGGCGCTGCGCCGTGTCACGAAGGCCACTTCGAACAAACTATAGACTTTCATCAACATCTGTCTTCGCTTAATACTACTCAAGATCAGATGGCCAGAAATAACCAGCGGCAGGGATCACTGGAAGCGAACCAACCCAGAAGGAACCAATTGTGCGAAAAATATGCAGGAAGAAATGAAGGTAGGTGGATTGGCCATAGTCTGAGAAAACCATCAAGTGACATCCCAATTTGATCCTTTGTCAGCTGATACTGTCCATCGAGGGAGGCAGTGGTTAGGCATGCGTAACACATTTCCAAACCATCTCAATCTATGTAACTTTACAGCCTCGACGATTGATTTCCCTTCTTACCTAGCACTCGACAAAAGGCTAACTTCAATATTGCTCAATCTATTATACCACTTCACACGGGAGATAGAACGCAGACACCTGTGATCAAAGACAGCCAGCCAGCTAACCTTTACATGTCTTCCACTTTCAATGGTCATGTCTCGTAGTCATAAAAAAAGGACAGAGCGAACTTCTCACCGACGTATTCCGGGATTCAATTCTTGTCTGATTTACTCCTACACTTCACTTAACTTACAGTAAGCCTGGAAAAGAAGAAGGATGTTAAGTGTGAGGCTAGCAACCCCACCACCGCGTGAAAATAACACAAGTAATACTGAAACTCGAAAGCTTGAAATCTTATATTCCACTTAGAACTGAAAGAAATTGAAAAGACTCAATAGAATACGCTACTATTGCGGTGAGAGCTGTCTGCTAGCCAAAAATGATAGACAGCAATTTACGTCAATGTTTACATTTCAAATCTTGGTCATGAGAAAAAAACAAGAACAAAGACTAACTCAACAACCAGTCACAGCAGACTTTGCGTGGGCGGATACGATTCGCAGATAGAGATGATCTGACCTTCAAAGGAATGGCCACAAAGAGATGACAGAATAACCTTGAGCAAGAAAACAACCAATCAGAAGACGTTGCCTCTCTGCTAACAATAACGCTGATAATAATGTACATAAAAATCTATAAATATCTGTTGATTTTCTGAATAAACGATATGTTGCCTGGCCCTTGTCTTCTGTCGTTACAATATGATTAAGAAAACACAGTTTATTGGGCTCTTTTGACGCATGAATTATAATTCTGTCATTATTATTATTTTTATTATTATTAATACATTTTAATATGTACAACAGATGCGTTTATTTCCAATAATTAATTTACATGAAATAACATCATTATTAATCATCGCTTTGTGGTGCACGTATAGATCGATTAGTGCCAGGCTGACGTCGTCTAAATACAATACGAGCGGGATTACTACTGCTTGACTGTTCAACTTTACAAGAATTGTCGTCTTCGCTTTTCTTAGAACTGCCGCCGCCTCCGCCAAGACAACTTCCAGGATGAATTACTTTTTCTACTGGATTGAATAATGATGCATTTTCAATAGATTTTTCTGTTGCTTCTTCTAAATGTGCTATTACAGATAATTTTTCATTGAGTTCTGGATTCTGTGAATAGACAACATTATTGGTAGTGACAGGGAGATCAAGTTTTGGTAATTTTGGTTTAGGACTTTAAAAAAAGAAAAGAAAAGTAAAATATCAGGAATTACTTTTGACAGTCTTAATTACAACGAAATAAATATATTATTATTATTATTGTATCCTTTAATTCCTAGAGGAACATAGGGCTTCAGCCGTGCGTCTCCATTGCGTTCGGTTCTCTGCTAGTGTCTTCACCTGGCTCCATGTCTGCCCACATGTTGTCATCTCCTCTTCACATCACCTCCTCCAAGTCACCCTTGGACGACCAACTCGCCGCTTCCCTTTCAGGTTCCACTCGAGCAATGGCTTGTCTAGTGATGTCACTTGATGGTTTCCTCAGAGTATGGCCAATCCATCTCCATTTCTTCCTGCCTATTTGTTTCACAATCGGTTCCTGGTTGGCTCACTCCCAGAGATCCCTGTTGCTGATCTTCTCTGGCCATCTGATCGATGCTTCCCAGGTAGGTAAAAGAGGTTGTTTCTTTCAGGTTCAACGAAGTAAATATAAACTGATGTGAACTTTTAGATAACAAAGAATGAGGTGTTTAAATTTCTGTCTTTTCAGATAGACATAAGGTTGACCAGTAGATTATAAAACTGTGCACATTAGGCGATGAAATCATGCACTAGTCAGGCACTGGAGTGAAACTCGGATGGTAAACAAGAGATGAGTTGGGCGTGGCTACAAAGGTGACATGAAGGAGAACGTGTAGTAAGGTGGATATAAAGGTTGGTGGATGATCATGGAGCCATCTAAAATAAGAACTGCAGAGAACAGAGTGGAGTGGGGATGTGCTACTGAGAGCCTATGTTTTGTTTGATTGGACACTAGCCAGTAACTTGTGTAATGCATCTAGTCCTTTGCTTGGTGCGGACTGAATTCTATCAGTCAGGTTTGCAATGTCATCACTGTGCTAGGTGGTGGCTCGTCATCACGGTGCACTTTGAATTATTGGTATTAGATGGTTGGAAGCAATCGGCAGGAAGCTTCGGACCTAGGTTTCGTGCTTGTCGGCACTCACCAGTGAGCAAGGCGTATCTGCAACCTTGAAGGAACTTAAGTCCCTTCTGAAATTCGAACCTGCGTCACCAAGTGCTGCCTGAAGTCAGAGACGTTGCCACTGAGCTTTTCGGGCCCGCGATTGACCTCCTGTAGGAATGTATTGGATATTTTTGATTAGATACTAGCCAGTAACTAGTGTAATTTGCCTATTCCTTTCTTCGGTGCAGACTGACCTCGAATAGCTCAGTGGCAACGTCTCTGACTTCAGGCAGCAATGGGTGACGCGGGTTCGAATCTCAGAAAGGACATGAGTTCCTTCAAGGTTGTTGACTGGTGATTGCCAACTACCATGAAACCTAGGTCAAGCAAGGCTATCTGCTGATTACCTCCAAAAAGTGACATTTATAGCATACCAGCAGAGAGTTCAAAACTTCCTTTCAAGCAGAGCATTTTTGAACACTTGCCCGCCAAACCTTATCTTTACTCCACAATCATCAATAGTTTTAAATAACACTGAGTATCACTGTCGGCCCACATTACATGAAAAGCAGATTCTAATCAAATTAGTTAACTTACATTCATAATATTATCCAACTTACAACTTTTAAGTTTTCTATATCATGTTTAGATGATTATTCTCATTCGTCAAATTTACTAACCAGTGATAATCGTCGGCAGTACCCACCCACTGGGGTTCGGACCCAGGGCCTTCTGGTTACAAGGAAAGCGAGCTCGTATACCATTCAGCCACTGGGACCCGATTCAATGGACAGCCAATTCGTGATTTAACGCGTTGGTGGCACAGCGGTGGTGGTGGTCCGGGGATCGATCTCCGGCGACCGACGCATTTTTTTACCTTGCTAAACCAGTCGTAAGACTGGTAAAGAGGGGAGGTTGGGCATGAGGCTAGCAGCCCCATCCTGTAGAAGAAATAATCACCAATGCTACCGAAACTTCAAGCCTCTAGCTTGAAGGCGCCCTATGTTCCACTGGGAACGTAAAGAAATTAAAAAAAAGAGTTAGTTTGTAAGGACTTGATTTGTGTCAAGTTAGATCACTACTGAACACCGGTGGGTGCGTGCTGATGAAGAGTCCCAAACTAGGACGAAATAGCTATCCAATGCTCTCTGCTTTTCAGTGGTTGTCTAAATGACAATAGTCCGTGATCTAAGTTGGAACATAATGTATGCTTTTGAAAAAGAATGATATTTTAACAAAGTTAGTTGAAATGACGCATCACAAACTATGTAAAGAGATGCAGAATAAATCCATTCAGTATTGTAGCATAATTGTAACATGTTGTTAAGTGTCAAGTCTATTACTCCAGTCAGTTTAAAAGATTTATTAATGCTCCAGAGAGATGAATGAAATGTTACCCAGTAACTACTTGTGCACAGGCACAGGCACACACACATACACTCCTGACAATGAGGAGTGTTGGTGCTGCCTCCAAAGCCTCAGGATGGTCGGGGGTGGGTGCCTTGCGCTGCGGGTTGGCCATCCCTCCGCACACCTCTTGAAATGCTCCCATATGACCGGGCGTCTTACATAGCCTCTCCTGAGGAAGTCCTACTCACTACCTTCACGTGGCGGAGGTGTTTTTCACCAAAGTGAGAGGGCGAAAGCGGATGCCCGGCGCTCTTCACCGGGTTGACTGTCCATTGGATGATAGTCTAGGGGAGATGGCTAAACCCTGACTCCAAACCTCCAACGACTGGCGTATGAAGCTCACTGGAGCTCACCGGCAGACGTATGGACAAAGGGCTTGTTGGATGTCCTGGATGTCTGGCCCCATTCAAAAAGGCGTATGAACCGAACTCCGGTCACCGGCTGTCAATGGATAGTGAACTCCCTACTCCACTCCTACTACCTTTCAGGTCACACTTGGTTGTGTAAAGGCTAGAGCTGCACTCTCAAACAAAAGGCCGAGCGATTCTGGGGACATCACTCGTACCAAATTCCCATGAAACTTCATGAACTCTCTTACAAACGGATTCGAGATGTTCATGAAGCCGGCTCATCCTCCCGTAGGAGATAGCCGAAGTAAAGTAAAGTAAGTGCTACCTAACCACCCAAAAACTGGCAGCTGGACGAGGCCCAAACTCTCGAACTAAGTTGACGAATGCCTACATTAATGATCTACAGCTCTACAAAAGTTATAATGTTATACCATCGACACAAGACAATTGACACAAAAAAAGTCAAACATTACTTACACATCCTCACAAGCAACCCATGGACCGAGCAAATCAATCCGTGGACCACGAAATTCAACAGGCCTAGGAGGTTCTGGTGTACTAGGCCTTTCATCACGATTGTCAACTGTAGACTTTTCTACTACAGCAGCAGTAGTAGTTGATATATCATCTTCTACAGAAGCATTGAATGCCTGAAGTACTGCTTCATTTGCTCCTTTCGATCCAGATTCACTTAACTCCACGAGACGATTAAAGACAAAATCCTTTAATCTATCCTTTTCTTGTTTCACCGTCCGATTATCCGGTTCTATAATACCATCCGGTCGTGTCCATTGAGTAACACGAGTGACTGCATTCCAGTAATAATGTTTACCATCTGGAGTGATTGATTCTCGCCAAATATTCTCTGGTTTTGGTGGATCAGGCCGAGATTTAGCAGGGATTGATTTCTCTGTTTTACTTACAGTTTCTTCATTATTATTATTATTAGCCTTGATTTCTTCTGATTTTTATGAATAAGTATACATAGAAAAGTAATTACTAGTTAATTCAATCCCGTATTGTTTTGCCAATGACGGATCTCTTTCCAAATCTTTCATCATGCTTAGATGAGCACTCTAATATTCAGGAAGAAAACAAAAAAATTATAAGAAGAAATAAACACGCTAAATACATCATTGATTTGTTGTAGGCAAGCTTCCAGTTTTCGCTTCTCTATTTCAGCATCATTGTTGCTACGAGTTAATTCGTTGACTTTCTTTGCTACACTGGCTTTATGACGCATACCATTCTCATGATTTTGAATGCTCTACTCAAAGAAAAATTGAGGAAATAATAATTATTATTGAATAACGACTTACGATCTTATTGTCAGCAATCCAACATTTACATAAATCACAATATTTTTTAGGATTACTTTTCCAGTAATCAGCCATGCTCAAGGGAAACTGACAGACGGAGAGATCATCTAAATCTGAAATGGAATACAAAAATGAATCAATATATGTGTAATAATAATAATAATAGTAATATTAATGATGACATGCATGTCAAACATGCACAGGATAGTGACAACACCAACAATAAGGAATCAAAATCATCACAGTAGTAATTCCATACAAAGAAGGAATCTCGGAAACCTTACGGCGGAGAATTCTTAACAAGGCAGGCAGGAATAAAAGTGGCCGGGCATTCAAACCAACCACAAACTCAATTAGAAACAAGCTTTGTCGGTTAAATGGTGGATCCTGTGGAGCCTTTAAAACAAAACAATTTAGTTTATCTAATACCCTGCAATGATTGTCAAGTCATATACATAGTTCAAACTAGTAGAAGAAGGGTAGTCAGACTAGCCGAGCATAAAAACCTATCAAAATGTAGATTAATTAACCCGAATAAGATAAGAATTCTAGAGAATAATTCAGCTATAGCACTCACTACATCCAATTACACACAATCATAAAATAGGATGGGATAAGATGACAGTTTTAAAATCCACTCAAATATAATAGGGTGGAGGGAGAGATTGATAACAGAAGCTTTGTTTATCGAATCAATTGACAGGGAATACGTGTAATAGGAATGATTGAACACCTGTCCACCCAGATATTTGGAAAATTCTATTACCCCAACGACGACAAATAGGAGAAAACAAAGAAAACTATAAAACTCAAGTATCGAAGTCATGTGATTATAATTGATGATGTCGTTATGAATAATGAGTAAATTGTGTTCGAAACTTCGTCATCCAGTAAATAATACTGTTTCACTGACTGTGATACATTTAATAAACACACTAATATGGAAAAATAAATCAAGATATAAGCACAAGCTGTTAAGTGAAGTTATTGAATCAGTGAAGAAAACAACCTATAAATAAAACCAGAACTACAATGCAGATAACGAATTGAATTTCATGGATTCAAGTTGACAGAAAACCCATAATCTTTTCCACTTATCTACTCTACATCCTGAGTGACAGAATTTCAACATAGAACTTGGCAGAGAAGTGCAGCAGTTGAAGTAGCTATACTACATGCAGCACACAAATGTGAATAAGAGAATAGATTAAAAGGTTATTACTATTATTATTATTATTATTATTATTATTATTATTATAAGCAAAAAGGGAGTAAAATCGGGACATCTGGGCATAGCCGAGGCACTAGCCATCCAAAAGCTCAAACCCACGCTATGTATCCAAAAGAAATACGTTCAACCCTTGTCCCTGCCGTGACCATCATAAACAGGTAATTCCTTTATTAGTGACTATCCCATTGACTTTCTTATCCAAACTTCCTGTTTATTCATGTTATTTTTAAGTTTTTCTTAATCCCTATTTACATTACCGTGTTTTCATATCCGAACTTCCTGTCTATTTTGTCATTTTATTATTTCTACATATTTAATCCCTGATTTCATAAACAATTATTCGTCACATTAGCTATGAACCCACTACATTTTTTATTCAAACATCCTGTCTATTTATTTTGTTATTTCTACATTTCTAACCCCCAACTGCACAATCGATGTCAATCTTCTCAGTAATTATGATGCTACTTTGTCTGAGCTTTATCCGTCCCCCTGTTTATTATGGCATTTCAATTCGTAATTGTAGTTTTACTAATCTGACCCTTGACCAGAAATTATTCTGGAACTTTCCCACCCATTGATTATAAATACACGAATGTACAACCATCTAGTTGATGATTTCATCGAAAAGAAAATTTTCTTCGCTGCAACTGTCTTTTTATTACTTATGATAAAATGTGTACATTCCGTGATAAGCAGAAATGGGAAGCAAGAGGATACGAACACGGGAAAACATGGCGATTCAGTAGAGATGGGGGATCACAGAGAGTGAATAAATCTGCACCAGTCATTGAGAACGATTTTGAGCTATATCACCAACAATCTCCAGCTATTAATTCTTAGCACTACGAGGACCCCAACCAGGAAGTCTACACTTCAAACTAACTGTCAAACACTTTACGGACTGATCAGAGGTTTTGGTTTGACCGTCCTTAGGCCCTATCCAACATAATCTAATGTCAGTTAAGATTTCTAGTCGAGAGAAGACGATGGTTCTTCATGTGCAACACATGTCTTAGCCAACTCAATTGATGTAGATTCACAGCCTCATTGGTTGACTGAGCCTTCTCACCTAATACTACACCATACTGTACCACTTGATACGCGAGATAGAACGCAAACATCTGTCGTCAAAGACCGCTAGTCATACCATATCTTCCACTTCCAATGACCATTTCTTATAGTAACAAAGGAGGTTACAGCGAACTGCTGAGCAGTACACACACCCTTTGATCGATAGCCGGATATCAAATCTACACCACAGATGACGCAAGTTGGAAAATGCAACATGAACTTCTTGTATACGTGCTGAGATTTCGTCAGCAACTTCCCAAATAAGTTAAGTGATCAAACGTGTCTAACCATTTCATTTTCTTTTCTCAGAGAAGGAGTCGGTGTAGTCAAGTCCTGTAGCATCATTTCACAACAGACAGCAGTGAATCGCATGCCAAATATCCGAAGATTTCTACTCAGGGTGTTCAGAAGACTTTGCAACTTGTCAGCATCTTCACCTAGGAGGACAATATCATCCATATGCTCTAGGTTAACAAGAATATTCCCTCGTAACAAGTCAATCCCTAAGTCAACCGAGTCGATTAGAGTCAATTACATTAGTATATCTATGACGAAATTAAATAAAAATGGACACATCCCAGGCGAACACCGCTGGTTGTCATCACTTCAGATGACACCGCTCCATTAGCTTTTACGCGGATGACTCAGTACGTTTAGTGCATCGGTCACTGAAACGTAGTTACTCAGTACTCGGCACCTAAACACTGCTGTGGAAACCCTCGATCAACGGAGTTGAATACCACCTTCAGATAAAGAAATGCGGTCTGTTACCATGGAAACAGTGTTAATGCAATTGAATCGATGCCTGTTCGCCATCTAAACGACTCGAACGAATCTCATCTGTGAAGTAGTTACGCTAATTACGAAGGCAAAAACACGATGTAAACAACCCATATTATAACAAAATATTACAGCCTAATGGAATTAGGGCAGTAAGGTGAAAAAGAAAACATTTAATTTTATCCAGTCGTCCGACTGACATTGTTAAGCCTGAAAATATTATATCTTACAGATGAAGTAAGTCATAGTTCGAAATATCACATTTTATGCTCAATTCCTTGTTATGATGATCTAAAGGCATTCACACTTTATAGTCTTCCAAGTCCAAAAAGCTCCGCACGTTTTCCTGAATTACACTTTATTTGTTTCAATATTAAGCCTGCAACCATTACATTACATTACAAACATTACACATGAAGTAAGTCATACACCGAAATATCACATTTTATGCTTAATTCCTTGTTACAACAAACACTAAATGTGATCAAGAAATAGCTTTCAAATACTGAAAAAATGATACACAAAATGGACAAAAAGCTTGTCAAAAAACATTTCGCCAGTAATACCAATTAACAATAACTTTCACAGAATACCTTAACATCACGAGAATGACGCCTAACCACTATCAAAAACATACACGTATACTCCAGTAAGAATTATTAAATGTAAGAAGACAAACATAAATTGAAATTAAACTCAATTCCACGTTTAAACATACACTACAATTAATCTCTTTATACCTCTCTTCAAAACTCTGTCACATACGAATATACTGTACCATGGGGATTCACAATGCAAGTGATGACAAGCGAAATTTATGCGAAAAAGTACGGCAAGTTGTATCGCTGCAGTTTGAATACTAATACACCCAGATATTCTCCACGAAAACAACAATTTCCACCGCTCACCACTAGACTCATAATATGACATTGTTGTTATTCAAAGACAAAGTCAGAATTTACTAGGCAGATTAGCAAGAATCAAAGAAGGGTAAGCAAATACATTCACCAATTTGATGAAACGACTTCCCATACATCATTTCTTACCACAAACGAAAGAATCCGCAGCAAAACAGAACAAAACTGTCAACCAGGGAAAATACAGACGCACAGTTTCAAACATTTGTAAGAGATATAAAGAGAAACACCAGTAGTCTCCGCACAACTATCATCTGAACAAGAAGCAGATTTCAATGAGAGAATGAGTCCAAACACCTTGGTGTTTAGCTCGATCGGAGCAACCGCAGTTATCGGTAATTTGACCATCGTTACTTTTAACCTTAAAAGTTTTACACAACTGAATGATGCGACTAGCGAAACCATTGGATCGATTATTCAATAAACTTTTGTTTAACGATTTCCATGAATCACTATTCACTGATTTCAGTCACTAGGTTTGTCTACATCGGTGTCCAGTTTCCACACGAGGATATGTGTGATTTACTTCAGGGTAACTCCTTAGACTGACTGGAAAGGAAGATTAGGAAATAGTAACGGTGAGCAAGAACACAAATCCTAGATAGCAACAACGGTATGGCTCTCCAAGTAAACAAGCTGGAGAATATTTTCGATTGCACACTAGTCAGTAACTAGTGTAATGTGTTTACTCCTATCTTCGGTGCAGACTGAATTCTAGCACGAAACCTAGGTCCAAGGCTTCCTGCCGATCGCCTCCAACAATCTAATACCAAACTGGAAAAGGGCATGAAGATACAAAATTGACATTAGCAGAAAAGGCGAGTATGCTCTCATGCAAACATAAACCTGGAAATACCTTTATCACGAGTAAACTGAACAAGTAGAGAGAAAAATACACACCATGGATCCATCAACCTTCCATTCAGATAGAAACAATTCTATGCTACAATAAAGAGCTGACATTATTTTAGCCTTGCAGTGAACGCATTCGATCACATTATACCCTTTCCATAAACTAGAAATCTGTGAAGATGAGACACGTCTACGAAACCAGAAAAGAAATTCCTTGAGAAATTATTCTCAATTGAGAATGACTTAAGTCACTTTAGTC